GATCCCTTGGAGGGCCAAAATCGATAAGAGTAGGCTTCGGCCGCCACCCGGGCAAAATTCAAAATTTCCTACCAACTGAATTTTGCAATGTGTCCTGCGCGCTCATGACCGTATGCAGTTGCTAGCGTCGTAAAACACTTCAACAAAACAAAAAAAAAGACTGCCTGTCAGGGCCAACCCGGGCTGAAAAGGATGCAACATTTCAGCAGGAAAGACCAATATAATCGCTTGAAATTCTCCCCGCACGGGGATCGAACTCAAGTTTTCTACGTAGCACGACAGAGTGCCTAATTACTATCGCTATACCAAATGATACGCTGGATCTCTTTTTCCCAAGCAAAGTAAGTGAAAAAAATATGGTGAAATGGTATGTGTTTTTACGCCCCTACAACACTATTAGGTTATTTAAGGGGCGGGACCTCCTAGTTTAACGTCCGTCTCCGACAGGACCGAGCCAAATGGGAAGTTTGTGTAAAATGCCTTTCCCAAGGACACAACGTCGGACCGAGCTGAGGCTCGAACCCCAGAACCTGCAATCTCAAGATTACGAGTCCGGTAGCCTAACCACTAGGCTGTATACCGACGCCACTAGCAAAAAAGGTCAAAGGTTTAATTAAAGAAAGAAATAATTACCACTTGTAAAAGAAACTTCAGAACCAGCAGTTGCCTGAGTCGGATTTCCAACAGCAGTGGCGGAGGTTTCGAACAATAAAGACACATGGGATGTTTTGCTCAGATAGCATAATATAGATCTAGCACTCCAATCATAATCCATAAAATGATACTGACCCTTGACATATGACTTCATTACGTAAATCGAACCAAGATTAGATACATTTCCGCTCAGAGAGTGATGGAAAGAAAGCTCTTGAAATGTTCAACTATCGATACAAAGTGGCATATTATGGTTCTCAAAGTCCCGACGGTTAATAATTGTGCATAATTAACCGGCTCGAGTTTGGTACGACCTGGGTTCCATCGGTCTATGATCTTACCGGAAGCATTTTTGTCATTAAATAATCTATACGATTTTGTCATTAAGGTTCTGTTACAGCGAGGCGTTCTCTTTCAACTGGTGTGACTGTGATGTAACGCCAGCATCGAACTCTAAAGACAAAGAATGAAGTTCATAACAACGTTTACCTCAATTAGAAACTTCCATTTTCACCTCTGGGACACCTATACCAACATCGACACCTTAATCAAACAAGCACGTCTACTCTTTCTTTTTTGTTCAAATAAGAGCAATTAAAATTACAAAAAGAAATATTATCTACGGTACAGAAGCCGACGTTACGATCTTCCTGCTACAAGCATCCGATAATGACTGAACTGCTTCATACTTCATGGTAATTTTCTTTTAAAATGAGGAACTTACATTATTTACATATGATAGCCTGCAAAGCAGAAAGCTGTATAGCTGACTGGATTGGTTTAGAATCTATGCAATTTGCTTTCTTTATTTTACATCGTGATCAAGTTTTAACAAAGTGGTTGATGTTTTTGTCTTTCCTCTGTAACTGGAAGCACATGTTACGACTATTTCAGAAAATCAAATAAAAATTGTACATGACAATCATAATTCCTTCGTAGCGGGGTTTTTTTTATGTTGATAAAGTAAAATGGCAACCACGAGGAATAATTTCAACACTTGAACGAACTGCGATACATGAGGTATAATAATAATGAACCTTGAGATAAATCTTGAGGTACACAATTCGTGAGTGGGAAATGCTGGGGTACTCGGTGTTATTAAACGGCTAATCATTTACTCCTGTACTAAAGGGGTGCTGGAGAAAACAATGCTTTTCGTTGGGGAATGTTACTTTGTGGAAGTTATCTAATACTAACACCTTGTTATTCTTCGTCATCATTGTCGTTTTTCTCGTCATCATCCAGTAGGTAGATGTTGCTTCTCGGACCTTTCAGTAACACTTGCTTAAGTTGTGTTGTTTGCAAGCCAGACTTCTTTCATTGTTCACATTTTCTGTTAGGTCCCCGTCTTTGTCCCCTGTTGCTATATTATTTCTTCTGAGTGAATCACGACATTCGTACTCCCGAAGTAGTTCAGTTTCAATGTCACTACGATCTGGAGGAGTATTAGTTTCTATGCCAATTTTTCTTAGAACTAGGGTCGTTCAAAAAGTTTTGCCTCCTCTCCAATAACTTCTAAACTATTCAAGATATGTTCATGAAATTTGTACATAATTGACTTTCAATATGTATACTCTCAAACCCAGAAAACAAAATTATGCTATGGTGTCTCACCTTCATGCTATTGCTGTTTACATCATAGAAGCTAGGGTACATTGTCCCCGAGAAAATGGCGTCCAGCAAACCTATGAATTTGAGCTTAAAGCAAAGAGCTGTTATTGAGTTCCTTACTGCAGAGGGAGCTGCACCCATTGATATTCAAAAGGCGAATGAAGCTTGTCTATTATGAAGCATGGTTAGATGTAAGTACTGTTCGAAGATGGGCAAAGGAGTTTGCTGAAACCAGTCCAGCAGAGACAGATTTGCATGACCAAGCTCATTGTGGTCTTCCCAACTCTGCCAGTGATTCAACACCACGAGAGAGTGGATGAGATCATCCAAGCAAACTGGCGGATCAAAGTAAAAGATGTCAGTGAAATGCTAGCCTAGGGATTTCTGTAGGGAGTGTTCAATATATGTGTCACGACACGGTGGAATCAGCGCTCGTCAATTTTTGGACTTGTGGAGTTATTGGTATCATTTTAAAGGTTGTTCCCTTGTCTTACTTTTTGTGGGGGAAAAAATAATCATATATCATGGAAAGCCATCGAGATATTGGCGATTAAAGGAAGTGGGTGTCTTCTAGTTTCAGATGTAAAATTAGCGGAGAAATTGGATTGAAAATGTTTGGCGACTTTCAAAGTTTGAGAGTCCTTTGAAACTGCAAATTTACATTTTTGTGTCTTACATCAGCATTTTATTTTCTGTAAATTCCACACAGAAATTTGTAAGCAAAAATTCGATAAATATTGCCAAACGGACAAAAAGATGCCAGTTTCTACGATTTCATTATTTTGACGAGCGCCTGATTTCATCATGATGCCTCACATATTGTCCATGATGTGTTGGGTTACAGGAAAGTGTGTGCACGGTGGGTTCCCTACATGTTGTCACTCGAGCTGAAATTGAACCGAAGTCAAGTTAGTGATGAACTCCTGGCTCGCTATGCTGATGAAGGTGAAGCTTTCTTACGCCGTATAGTCACAAGAGATGAGACTTGGGTACACGACCATTCTGACCCAGAGAACAAAAGACAATCGAAAGAATACAGGCACACTGGCTCACCTAGCCCCAAGAAGTTCAAAGTTGTTTCATCTGCACAGAAAGTGCTTATGACAGTGTTTTGGGACTGCGATGGTCTGATTCATATGGAATTTTTGGAACAGGGTTCCACTGTCAACTCTGAACGATATATTGAGACCCTGAGAAAACTCAGAGCACGGCTGTCACGAGTTCGGCCCGGAAAAAAATATGCAAATTTTGCACCACGATAACGCCCGTCCACACACGAGTCGACAAACTCAAGATGCCATTAAAAGTGTTAGATTTCAAGAGAACTTACCGCACCCATCACACAGTCCAGACCTTGCTCCATCTGACTTTTATCTTTTTCCTTAGTTGAAGGAGTACCTCAAAAGAAAACATTAGATCTATGCAGATGACGATGAAGTTCAAGAAGATGTGCGTCGCTGGTTCAGAGGAAAACCACATTAATTTTTCGCCGACGGCATGCGACAATTAACCTATTCGACGTTGGCGGATCTGCATCGTCAAAGAAGACGACTATGTTGAAAAGTAAAGGTACTGTCATGTAGCAGACATCCTAAGCTTTCATTTGGTGTATAACTTTTGTATATAGCATCAGTAATAAAGAAATTATGAACTTGGAGGAAAAACTTTTTGAACGACCCTCGTACTTCTTCATTTTTAAATTGTTTGTATCCACAATAATATTGTAAGACTTTTTCTATAACATTTCATTTCGAAAGCTGTCATCCTTTTTGCATCTTGTTCTTTGATGGTCTTTGCTCCATATCCATAATATTATTTTACGTTGAGGAATAGGGCATTTCGCAGAATTCTTATTTTTGTATTTTCGCAGTTTCCTTTAAAGAAAGCTGTCATCGTTTTGATTTTTGATGTTGCAATTCCCCGTAGTATAATGTATGGGGCTGTATTCCTATTTGCCTCAATCCTGGATCAAAGACATTTTAAAAAATGATAACTATTTTTTCTTCCCCATCAATTTCAATACAGCATCTTCTTTGTATTTATCTATGCCCATGATTTAGGTTCTCTTTACACATTTAGGCATATTCCGATTAAAATTTAGTCTTTGTGTTCTCGGGAGGATTTCATCAAGTTCTCTGAACCTCTTTGTGTTGTTGCAAAGAGGGCAAAATCATCGACATATAAAATCTCTTAAATTCCTAAGTATATAGCTGGTACGTCACATTCGTCTTTTACTGGGTAATGTTCTGCCGCCCTGCTTGCTTGGTTACAAAATCGGGTGCTTTTGAAAGGTTGATAAAAGGCTAGCAATTAGGCCCTGACTGATCTGCGATATAAGATAAGATAAGATAAGATACATCTTTATTGTCCAGATCCTGGCACATTGGTTTGGTGTTCCACCACGAGTACACACACACACACGCACACACACACACACACACACACACACACACACACACACACACACACACACAAACACACACACACACACACACAAACACACACACGTACACACGTGCACACACATGCACACACAAGTAGGCTTACAGTCACATGTATAATATAAATGAGCAGCAATATAAACAATAATAATCGTAAGCTAGATACACACTCAATGTTCTTTTTATGCATGGTCTAAGGTCGTAAGTACACTAAACAAGATGGTTAAGATGGAAGCATTTTGATAGATGATGGTAAAAATGACCTTCTGTATCTTTCTTTGTTACAGATCAGAAGCATGGGTCTTTTACTTCTTACTGGTGTTTTTATTTGAGAGAACAAGGGATGTTTGTTGTCTAAAAAGATGGAATTAATTTTCTCAGTGCAAGCTGTTATGTACAATTCATCCAAGTAGGGGAATGAAGATGTTGAAATTTTACATGCTTTCCGTATTAGTCGATTTAATTTTTCTTTATCTTGTTGTCTTGTGTTCCCGGCCCATGCTATTATACAAAAATTGATCATACTTTCTATGGTTGAATGGTAGAACATGGACATCAATGTTTTATCAACTTTAAAATACTTTAGCTTTCTTAGAAAAAATAGCCTTTTGTTAACTTTTTTATGCAGGAGAGAAGTGTGGACACGCCAGTTGAGTTTGTTGTCTATTGTAACACCCAAATACTTATAGTCTGACACTTGCTCGATGTTTTCACATTTCATTTTGAGTGGCTGCAGGGGCAGTTTCTTTATTCTAAAATCAACGACAAGTTCTTTTGTTTTTTTCACATTTAAAAGCAGCTTATGATTTTCACACCATTCAGAAAAATGAAGTACAAAATTCCGGTAAGCGGGTTCGTTATGGTCAGCCTGAATTAGCCCAATTATAGTTGAATCATCTGCAAATTTTATCAATTTGATGTTACTGTTGTTTATTTGGCAATCGTTCGTGTATAGTGTGAATAAAACTGGTGACAAAACACATCCTTGGGGGGCCCCTGTATTTGTTGTGATGTATGTCGATGAAGAATGTTTTAATTTTACATACTGGGTTCGGTTGGTAAGAAAATTGCCTATCCATGATATTAAATTGACGTTAACACCTATGTTTTCTAATTTCTTTAAAAGGATAGCTGGCTGGATAGTATTAAAGGCTGACGAAAAATCCACAAACAGGATCCTACAGTATGTTTCACGCTTGTCTAAGTGTCTATATATGTTGTCAAGAAATAGTAAAATGGCGTCTTCCACACTTCTCCCCTGACGATATGCAAATTGTAGAGGGTCCTAGATGGGTTCTATGTAGCCTACGTTCGTAGTCTTTTTAGCACAATTTTTTCTAGACATTTTATAACTACCGATGTTAAGGCTTTTGGCCTCAGGTCATTCATTTCAGTAATTTTTTCTTTCTTTGGAAGGGGGACGAATATTGTTCTCTAGTTGGCATAGCTGTAGGCACTACTTCTCTTTTCTTTGGCAATAGTTTTAGTTTTATGGTATGAAGATTGTTCTTCTTTAGACTGTAGGCCAGTGTCCGCTTCCCTATTCCTTCATGCACTGCCGGTAGTAAACATACATAATTTAGTCCCTCTTCTTCACTTGCTTTTATCATTCCAATTTGTGTGCTATCACATCCCGAACTTTCCCCCTCTTTAATTTTAATTGACTTGACAGCTTATCTATTTCTGATCTGAGAGGTGACAAATTTTAATGTACCTCTTCATCATGTTCTGCCTTTTACCTATTTGGACCAGACAGACTGATAGACTGATAGTTTTCTTTTCTACAAGAAGAAACCCTTTAAGTTTAAGGATGTTCTTTTTACATTGTTTATACTTTCTTTATCAAAATCCAAATTCTGTACTCTAGAAAAGAAGACCATGCTCTTGCGCTCGACAAACAGCCAAGGAACCAATTTAATTTGAAATATCCGGAGCTGTTCTTGAGGAAGTATTTCATCTATTCGGAAAAATCCAGGAAATCGTAAAATCTTTGTTGAAATTGAGAGTTCGAAAAATGTGTACAGTCCATAGCGTATTTTAATTTAGTAAAGAACGCCATGGTACAGTCAGATCTAAAATACAAGAAAACTTCATTGATTTGACAAGGAAGAAAATTGATACCATAGCGCGCTTTCAACTGTCTCTGCAATATTAAATGACAGTTAATCATATCATTTTGTATAACACGCCAACATGATTACACTGTACACACATGCGTGCACTCGCATAATACGCACGTACACACACACACACACACACACACACACACACACACACACACACACACACACACA